ACCACGAGATCGACTTCAGTGCAACTCGACTGGGTTAAAGATCATAGAATAGTAGATGCTACTACTGGCCTTATAGTCGTTTAATACTGCCCTGCCAGAGTAAAATGAACAGATTAGTAAATTAAAGTTTATTCACTACCAGGGATGTTCATTTTATTCTGGCAGGGCACTGTAATTTATCACAGACGGATATAATACATCACCTCTGATGAATGTGAAAGGGTGACAGTAGAGTTAAATTATTCAAGACGTTACAGACCTCGGAGACGAGACGAACTGCAGACGATTCAGAAGACTTGGAATTGCAGACGATCGATTGCCAGAAATCCTCCATGGAGCATATTCGACTTGCTCGACCCGAATTAATTCTTGCGGAGTGATCGGTGCGAGCCGGACGTCGGTGACCCGGTTCTTACGATTCGGAATCGTTTTTGAATATGAGTTATGTTGGAATTTATGTTATGATGGTCGTAATTTGTGCTAGAATGAAATATGAATTCGACTTGGTGTGCTGGTTACCCGGCTCGGCTCGTTCGTTTGGGTAATGGACGGCGCGTGTGGTCCATTCTCGATGCTTACAACGGTGAAAAAACCGGGAAAGAAACCCGGAAAGACTCGTCGGTTGAATTTCTGGTACCCATTCGATCTTGGAACCTGTCTCGAGTTGATTCTAGGGAAAACATCGAGGAAAATAAGGGACATAATCTGGATCACTGAAAAACTCTTTTCGGTGATGAACAGCAGCGGATCGAACGCGATCGACGACTGCCCCCTCCGGTGTCAATTCCGTAATTTACAAATTTACAAGTTACATGCAAGTTACGAGTTACCAGCTGAGATTTTGCAATTACACGAGTCGAGTCGCATCTCTTTTTCTCAGCCCTTCCAGCCAGTTTTGCCGCAAAGGCTGAGTAATAAGGCCGGACCCTTGCAAGCACAGGCACTACAGGGGGGCCATAAATACTCACACCAAATCAATTCCTTTTACTAATGATTTCCGACCGAATCAAGCAAATCTTGATGAGACGCCAAGATCCACTGTAAATATTCACAGAATATTTTCGTTACATTTCCCCTCCATCCTAACGGCAACCTGCACTTCTTTTCCTTTTTTCAGCACTATCCTTAGTGGATTCGGGGTCGCTGGATTTCGTAATTCCAGCACACTCCCACGCGCAACCCAGACTGTAACCCATTCATGAGTAAAGAGGGCATTCATGTTTGCTGATTTCATTCATGTTCGCTCTGCTAGCCAAGTTTTATGAGCGTCGGGCCTCGTGACTCGGAGCGGAGTCTTGCCAAAACATCAAAGAGACGCCGACCCATTGATACCATCAATTTTTTTCCTTAGCTTTTCCGGCGAAAAAAAAGGAATAAAAAACTTATATGTGGTATGAATATTAATGGCCCACCCTGTATACTTGCAACTTGCGAATATTCTGTTGAACACGAAAGTTTTGGTTGAACATTTTCACGGAGCTCAAGGCCTAATAGTGCATATTCAATCTCGTCCACTTTCCCCCTCATTTTCCTGCATTCTGGAATTTCCTGTCGGTCCCCTTCGATGGATCGGCTGGTCCGGATACTTTCTGCATATTTTCTGCATACTTCCAGCATATTTTCGGCATATTTTCTGCATCAGCCCGCGATCAGGAAGCGGAAAGGCTCGGTCGTTGCCGTGTGGGAAGAGTTCGGCTCGTATCAAAGAAATCTCTGCATTACAGAGAGTCCATGCTAAACAAGAGAATTTATTAGAATGTCCAGCAGGCCAAGTTTGATCGTATCACCGTTGCGATCTCACGGTAAATTTTCGAATCCGCTTAACCTCGTGAGAGATGAATTTTTTTTTTATACGGAAAAAAAAGTTTTAAAAAATATTGTAGGTGTAGAATGCTTTGCAAGCTGGGGAAACAATGATACCAACTGCAATGAAAACTCCCAACAAATTGGCCACATCTGTGGCATTTGAGCAGTTGGGGATCAGTTGTTGAATAATTTAAAATGCATTGAATCAAATGTCCACTGTATGCCAGTATCCTTGAAGAGGTTTACCTTGAATTGCATTCATGTGGACTCGAGGAAACATACCAGTTTTTATGCTAGAGAAGTCCTCATTGGCCTTTCTTTTTTTTTTCCTTTTTTAAAATTTATATTAAATTTATTTATTTATTCAACCGGAAGTGCGCGGTATTGTTTCGAAGCAACGTGCATAAGCTTCTGTGATCCAGACGGGCAATTAGAGGCTTTTATAACATGAATGTTATCTATAACATCACGGACATTCGTTTTATCCACAACAGCTACCTATACATTTTTAAGGGCATGTTATCATTAATTGATACAACACCGAGCAGAAGGACTTCACCCGTCACATTTCGCCTCGCCGATCTAAAAAGTGGATTGGCAGCTGGGTTTTTTTCTGCACCTGCGTGAAATTTCAGCTTTGTGCAGTGTCATTATTTTTTTCCCCCGGTCTTTTTAAGTAGACCTGGTTGAATCGATGGAATAATTATGGGAAAATTTTGGAGGGAAATTGCCGGGAAGTGTCAAACGCAAACTTCTCCAAACCGCTTCTGAATGGTGCCTTTATGGCTAAAAGCAAAAGAAAATTAGTGACAGATGATTAAAACCACTCTACTTGAAAAGTCAGTAAAATATATATGGCTTCAGATATAGAGGAGAAATTGCCCACAGGTGCAGAAGAAGCAGTTATAAAGGTGATCAACATTATGCGATTTCATCTGATTCGCGAGTAAAAGTGTCGGACCAAACGGTTTTGCATATGTTGTTCAAGATATGCAAAACCGTATGTTGTTCAACTCCCAACATGGCTAGTTGCTTTGTTTTCTCATCTTTTCCTTCCCAGAACCTTTCTTTCGTTCCCCTTCCCCCTTTTTGACGAGAAAACGCAATTTCTGATGCTCCCTGATCAAATGGAATAAATCTGCATTGATTCATTCATTGAAATGGCGTTGAGGAAAGATGGAGGAGCGCAGCGGCCTCCACTTTTTGAACCCGTAAAAGCTCACACAAGCCTTGCTGCAAATTTATCTCAAAGGACAGGAGGGGGTGAGGCGGGGATGCTGAAGGGGAAGGAGACGAAACTTCGAGAGCAGGATCACGGGTCTATGTCGATATTCGACTCGAGTTACCTCGCGAAGAGGGTAGATAACCGATTAGCTGGAGCACGCTCGGCCCGGTTAAATGCATCGAGAAAGTCTCTCGTTCGGGGGCTTCGTGTTTTGCTGAGACTTGGAATTCGGACCCGTTCTCACCCTCTGCATGAACAGGTCTAATCTTTCCCCTTGTGTAGGGGCGGGGAGGGAGGGAAGGGGGGGGGGGGAACAATAAGTTTTTTTTTTTCGCTTCCTGCTGGAGTGGTGTATATCCGATACCGATGTGGTTTTCCGCCGTGACGGTAAGGAAATGTCCTGGGGCCATTTATCACCGTAGTTATGCTTATGCTATAGAAACGCTGAGGATTTAGCCACCCAGGGTGCTCTGTGTGTGGGCGCATCCATGTTAGTGATATCAATCTGTTAAGCCTCATGGACTAACTCCTTTTCAACGAATGCCCAAACTAATTTCCAGACTCAGTTTTCCGGAGGGGGAGAGGCAGGTAGAAAATTGCCCTTTCCTGTTTGCAAAAAAAAAAAAAGATAAACTGAAGCATAAAAGGAGTGCGATGACTTTAAAGAGATTAATAACGCGCGATAAGCACAAAGTGGGCATGTTTTGCTGAAACTGTGGGACTTTGAAGTGGCTCACGACAGTTCATCACTGGCTATCTCGAGGGAAAAAGGGGTGTCCCTTGACGGAATCTAAGAAACCTGACTTCATGAAAATCCATGAATCAATTGCGATGGGGAGAGAGTGTGTGGGAGGGGGAGGGGGGGGCGTGTAAATACAAAAAACTGCCCTAGACACACATCTCTTATCTCAAAAATGCGCAACAATAGGGGATAAACGTGACAGCAAATACTCGTTATCGGATCATAAAAATTCGGCATTATTGCTTCATCAGACAACGATAAGGAGTTCACAAGTCCTTGTTCGATTCAGTACGCATAGCACAATGGCGCTCGGCTATAATATGCCTGACACACACGCACATCTGTTCCCGAGACTGTCAATGCCCCCCTTGTCACGTTCAAGGCTTTTGCCTCTCGTCCTGTCACGTCGAAATGTGTCGACAGAAGATTTCTTCGGCTGTCAGATCGGAATGCGTGTCGCTCTCCGAGTGCATATTGGATCTTATTTTGCGACGCGGGCATTCGGGGATTCCGGGTGGCGTGTTCTTGCATCGGAGGAAATACGAGGAAATTATGTCACAGCAGGTGAATAATGCCTGGATTGACTGCCGCAATTCTAAAAAATAATAAATAATAAAAAAGGAAGAAAAGGAAGGTTGAGGAACTGAGTGCCTTGATAAAAAAAAAAAGATGAAATGCGTTCATTCATGCGACGGATAGAAAACCTTTCGAACAAAAAAATTCCACAACAGAGGCCTAGTTTTGTGCTAGACGCACATTTCGTAACGGTTTTTTTTTGGAATGTGAGTTATGTCCCATTTAGGGATGACATCACGGTTCTCGGAGTTCAATTCCCACGTAAAGTGTTTATTAAGGAAGGAGATTGTTAAACGGCCAGAAAATGAGGACGAGTTTGTATTTATTGACCTTTTCCCGTCTTTTCAGATTTTTCCGTCTGAGCTATTGTCCAAGAATTCTACGAGAGTGAGGCCGAGAAGAGGGGGGGAGGGGGCTGCAGGGATTGGCGCTGGGGCCTGCTCTTTCCCTTCCCTCCCTCCTTCCTCCTCCCCCCCACCTCTCTCTCTCTCTCAATGGCGGTATATCCACGCCGGGAATCCGCGCTGGGGCAGCAGAAGCCAGCCAGCCGCCGTGGCGTAGGGAAGTCGTCGTGCTCTCAACTCCCGGCTTTTTACGAGTCCTTTATCCTCAGTGATTGAGAACTTTGAGGTTCCAGACGCCGTCATTGCCATGCGGGATTACGGTGACGAGAGCTCGGATGCTCCTCCGTTCTCACCAGCCAGTTCCATGAGTATCAGCAGTTCTGATTCCAGTCCCCAGCCGTCACCGTGTTCCTCTTCGGGCGACATGAGTGCTCCCACTAGTCCCGCGTTCCATGGTGATTTCTGTGATGGAGCAAGTGACCACACCTTCTCAAGGACTCAACGGTGGACACCCAGCCCAGGTCCGAATGACTGTCTGGATAACCGAGATGAGCCTCTCAATTCTAATCCCACGTGGACGAGTTCCCAAAACTCGACGGAAACATCATTTCGAGAGCGGATATTTCTTGCCCTTCGCGGTGGGGATTGCCGGAAGCTGCAAGAAATCCTTCAGACTTGTCACGGGAACGTGAATTTCTTCGATCCGGAGGGCCAGACTGCGTTGACGCAGAGCTGCCTGGACGGGAACTTCGAAGCCGTCAAACTTCTTGTTGGCTATGGTGCTGACGTGAGACTTGCCAATCGGGACGGTTGGTCCCCGTTGCACATCGCGGCTTACATGGGCAGCAGTGATGTGGTCATGTACTTGCTGAGTCGACAAAACGCAAATGAAGTGAGAAGGTGAGATCCGGAGAGATCTGGCTGCTGGGCCTAGGCCTGAACTTTTCCGCTCACTACCTCGCGTCCCAAATGGACGACCCATCAAAACATTCCTATGGTGTCGACGCGATTCGTTCCTACAATCCTTCCCGCATTGCTGAATCCATTCTTCTCTCACACCTCCCCTTAGTCCCCTACTTCCCTCCTTTGTAGGTCAGGGCCATAGGTGTTTTATTTATTCAGCATAGCTGTGATCGATTTGTGTGATGGTAAAATATTTTTTTTATTTCTTCTGTGTCGGCGGTTTGAGTTGCTCATGAAAATCATCATATGATGCGATCGCCATATGTCTCCAGAGTCCCAATTTGCTAACGGGGATATGGAATGGTAATGCTGTATTAATGTTGTGAATAAGATAATATATGAGAGCTTTATATTTTTAGACTCCCAACGGACAGCTGGCTTTTATTGCATCTGCTTCACATGGTTGCGCGTGTAGGGCAACGGAATTCCAACGGTCCCCTTGCCATGGATCGATAGGAGCTAGAGCTACGCACACAATCGTCCGGGTTCCCAGGCGACTCGGTCATCCAGTTCATGGCACGGTTTTATGGCGAGGTTTTTCTCCGTGGCATTCCGAGGCCCTTCATACGGCTCTATAAAATGTGTCTATTGAAGCAACGTGAAGGAGAAAAAGGAAAAAAATAGAGGAAGAGGGGGGGGGGGGAGGGGGCAGGCTGGAGTCTTCTACCGAGCCATGGGGCCCAGCCGAGGAGAGGAGGGAGAGAGCGAGAGAGAGAGACCCCGTGAGAAAATCTTGCCGGTTGTGGGAACTTCTTTCTCTCTCTCTCCCTCGTCCAGCCGGTTCTCAGCTTTCCTTGCCAAGGCTAAACAAGCGCAGCGGCGGACCAACGCCATGCCCCACATGGGGGAGAGCCTCACATATTCCACTGTCTCGTCTCTCTGTTGACTCCAGCCCTACATCCTTCGCTTCCACACATTCTAGGCACCCGTCTACGTGTCCCATACGTGTTAAAGACGTTATCCAGAATTCGTAATTTGGTTTGTTTTATTGCGTGAAATCCATATTTATGAGCACTTCCGACCGTGGAAGCGTCTCAAAAGAGGTTGAGTTCGAGCAGTGGGTGGCGGCGATTCTAAACAGAGGCAGCCGATGTGAACGCTATACTCCCCGGATCCTATGACTGCCACTGGGTCACATCTGGCAGCTTGCCCGAAGCCTCCCCATGAGTCGACAATTGATATTGTGAGCGGAGACTCCTTCTAAGGGAGTATGATGAAATAGGGGTCCTTCTCAATGCGTTCCTCCACCTGTACACCTACATTCCTCAATCCTCATTCTTTTTGGATCTCTGAGGGCCGGGCTGTCGTGACCCATACCACAAGAATGGGATTCCTTTCCGCGATGGGGAGATACCTTCCAACGGTGAACAATAAATGCCTGGGTCTACTCCTTTGTCTCCATTTGTTTGGGAATTCCACCCTTATCTCGAGGGGGCGGCGGAGGTGCAGAGATTTAAATGTTTTTCTCCCCGAGTTTGTTGAGGAAGGTCGTGCGGAAAGAAATGCCTTCAAGTCACATCAACGAGGCTCGAAATACTGTAAGGGGATTCGTGCATTAACATTAGGTGGCTCTGCAATACCAGGGTGGGTCACAGTTAAACGTTTAGTGTTTATTGCCCTCTCCCACCGTACAACATTCACCAACGATGAAGTCTAGACACTTTATACAGCCATTCCAGGGTAGAGCGATTGGAGGAAGCTGATGGTGTGTTCCTCGGGAATGCCATCTGCGATAGAAGTCCAGTGCCCTGGAGCATCACAGGGGGAGGGGTCAGGGTTGTCAGATTCTGACCATTTATCGAGGCTTCTCGCTCCTATTGAAACAGCTGCAAAGTTCTGGTGGTCTTCAGTTTTCGTTTTGACGTCAGACTTTCACTGGACCCAAATCATGCGAATAATATCGACGAACAAAAATCCAACCATCTAGTTCAAAACACCCCTTATTGACATTGAATTAATGATCATCAGCCAATTTTCCCTTTGCTGGACAGTTTCCGCATACGCCACTCCATTCTATTTTCTGCCGCATAAATCCGTTCAATTTCATCTGAACTTTTTTTCATGACTTTCCATCATTTCACTCATGACCATAAAAATTTGAAACAATTACAGACGAAGTCGGAACAAAGGAACGAGTACACAATCAACAATATCCACGAGCCATGTTTGACTGGGACCGAAGGTCGAACAAGATCCCGACGACTTCTAAAGCCGTGTCCCCGTTGGTTTCGAGGTCATGATTCCTGGCCTCTTCCTCGTTTTGTTTTCGAGACGTCTTGTGTGTGTCTATGGTGGGAATTTCGAGGAGATTCGGTTGTGGCGACGGTACTATTCTAACGGTCTTGTCTCCTTCCGGGCTACAAAAAAAAAATGGTGTCAGATTTCCTAACAGGTCACAAAAAGCATTTTCGAGTGTCGGTTGAAGGAGAACGCAATTGCATCTGAGGGATCAGATGATAGTCCCGTGAAGGATTTAACACCCCTTACAAGGAAAAAAAAAGTTAAACAAGTAGCAGATGTTACTCATCCTTTCTCCTTGGAGACTGAGGAATTGGGGAGTTACAGAGATAAAAAGAGGTGTAATGATCCCGCAAGACCAGAAAAGATGGAAGAGTGATGATCCAGTGACTTCGTTTTCTTTTGCCGTGAATGAAAAAAAAAGCTTGGGAAAGTTTTTCCCACAGCATCTGATGAAACAAAACAAGGAGACTCAAGAAGGGTTGTAAAGAGAGGAAGTGGAACAAGTGGGGGTTTAGAGGAGAATAAGAAACGAGGTTTCCATATCCATCATGGTTTCTTTTCATGTGCCATTCTTTTTTTCTTCTTCTCTTTCAATCGAGGGGGGGGTTGGGAACTTGGGATTGGCCCCGGGCTATGAAAAATGTCGGTCTTATGAGAAGTTGAACGGCGACGGGATTCTATTCGTGGGAAGATATGAGGGGAACCCCCATTCAGTATTCACCGTACCCCAAGTAATTCAATTCAACGTCTTCGAAGAAAAGAAAAAATTTCCTTCTCAGGAGTCAGGGCCGTGTGAAAAAAAAAGTTGATAAAAAATGCGGGTCTGAGGATGCCCGGCTTCCTTTCTCAACACCTTGTTTTTCGTCCAGTTGGTCCATTTTGGAAAAGAGTTTAGATTTCGCGGTTTTACACTCGTTTGACGGTTTCTCCGGTGGTGCCCTTGAAGCAAGGAATGCCTTGAGACTAAAGTCTTACTATTCAAACCTGTTGCGCCCAATTTAAAGATGCGTAAAGAGAAGGAAAAGCAGCGCGAAATTCAGAAGTCCGTCAATTCTGTTGTTTCCCTGACTCTCCCCCTGAGCCCTAAACACCCCAATCCGCCCCCCCCCCCCCCCCCCCCCCCCCCCCCCCCCCCCAACAATGGGTGAAGCGTGTGCAGGGCTCGTGCTCGGTCTCTCTCGCATGGTGCACTTTGCACGGCTACATTGAGATAATGAAGACCAAGGAACCCACGCTCCTTTCTCATCGAACACGGGCACTCTATTTTTTTTTTACTATTCAACATCTATCTCGTGGGATCAAGAGGAAAATCACCGGGAAGGGAACTTGATGGAGAGACTCGGAATCTGCTCGTAGAGAGTCTCCGAATAGCAGTAGACATTGTTTACAACTCTCTGTGTGGCCACCCTTATCTCCAAGAGACTCGGGCTCCTCGTGGGAACGTGATAATTGATACGAGATTTTCTTTCCCGCCTTTCATATTCTCAGTGAGGGGGAAAAAATGGATTGCCAGCGGAGGATTCCCAGTCAGCTACTAGTGTTGAGCATGGTGCGATTTCTTTCCTGAAGGAGTTATCTGGCTCATAAGGGGAGGGGGGGGGGGGGGAAGGAGCTATTCTAATCCCCTTGGGCATCTGTGGAAAGGTCGATGAGTGTACTTCAAGTAGCCGGTGCTACTGGCTTTTTAACATTCAGTTGACGTCGCAATCATTCTCCTCAGCCCGAGGCTCTCTCATCCTTCCCAATGATGCTTCCTCCCCAGAACATGGCCAGACAATGTGGATCCATTACACACGGAATACCCCCTGGCTCAACCATAAGTGCCCCTTTCCCCTCTCTCTTCTTTCGGTCACTTGTAGCTGACCGATGGATGGGGTCTTCACGACGTAGCCTTCCGATTACGTGGCCTTCTCGGGGAAAATGTCAATTTGGTAGATTTTTCAGCGTTTCATCGGCTGAACCTCTCGCTGAAAATCCAGCAAGGCCATCATCGGCTGTAGGGCGGCGATGCGCAGTCGGTATAGGAAAGATTGGGAGACCGCTTCTATGGTCGACGGCTGGTTTGTGGAAACCGCAGAGTTTTCAAGGATGTGGTAAGAGCAAGTAGGGCAGCCATGACCTCTGCAGTTGAATGCCGATCATCCTCGCAACATATAAACCACCGAAATAACTGCCTTTCTCTTCAAGGACTAGAGAGGATTTCCAGTTGGCATTAAAAAAAAGTGCGGATAAAAAAATTATACAGGCTAATTTTCTCCTTTGGATATATGTTCCATTTACTGAGGTTTCAACGCCATTTCTTTGAATAACAAAAATGGCTTTTTGTAATATCTTCCACACTTAACATGCTACTCACTTTCATTTCTCCCTTCATGGCCAGAAGAAAAAGAAAAACAAAGAAGTAAAAAAAAATAAAATAAACGCATCAACCAGAGTGCCCATTATGGTCATCGGAGATTGCCGGCGGTTCGCAAAAATGGATTTCCCGTGCCGCTGTCAACTCAGCATGAAGTTTTACTTTCGGTGCGGGGAGAGGAAAATATTCTGTGCATGACTAAGCCCTTCGAACTGAAAGCGATCGGGGAATCACGACGACGGAGACGACTGTCAAAAGAAGGCCTTATTCATGTCTCGAGGAACAACGGATGACTCTCGTCACGCATCCATTTCCACAACATGACTTCCTCCTCAGACCTTTCC